TTCTATTCTAAGGAATAAAGGTGCAATATCTAACTGTGCGTTCAATTTCCAGTCTTTGATTTGATTTTCGTTTGTTGCTATGTCAACATGCCATCCGCTCATACAGCAAAGTTGTCATCTTTCATTCAAAGGAAAAGTAGCACATGTTTTCTTCAAGAATTACATAGCAGCATAAAAAATACTAAATCGTACTTCGCTTCAGTGCGTGACCTCCCGTTTAAAGCCAATTTTTTGCCCTTCAAGACGTGAACATCGGTACTGGATGCTGCCATTGTCTGCACTGCACACGGATCATCTCAGGGCACTTCACTTTTTTGAATAATTAAGACCATCATTTAAAGCCGTGACAACAGCAGAACGTCTCTATATTATTCAACGCTTTTTCTACAAGCTACTGGTTACCGCATCATAGAAAAATAATTTCTTTCTGAAAGTAGATAAACCTCCATATTGCACGCTGGCCTATTGATTAACTGTTCATCCGCAGTGTTTCGCTTCCCGCACTAGAAGGTCGCGGGGAGGGAGTAAATGGTTTATGCCCAAACAGTCATCCAGTAGAGATAACTTCTCTTCTTTAATCTTCACATCTATGAAGGTCGTCAGCACTTGAAAGACAACAGCCATTCCTTAGGTGCCCTGTTATTCAATTTTCGTTACGCGTCGCAAACAACGCTGCCATGCATAATTCATAACTTTCATCCCTAATAACTACCAACGGTGATTATTTGACGGCTGCGCTATGTAGTAGCCACCATTTAGTGCACTCCTACTCAGCAAATCTAAAAGAGGTAAGCATCATGCGCAACCTGTAAACGAACAGAACGTTTTTTCTTGCTCTGGCTCTTCGTAACGATATACATTAGATGTATATATACAGCAGATATACTCTATCTGCTGATTGTAAGCAGCATTGACGTACTCTGACATTTTACGCCACTGCTGGAAAACATTTTATGTAAACAAACTGAAAAAGTTCTACATTTCACAAGAAGCATTTACGATTTTGTCTTCTCGTGTATTTTATCACATTACAGATATAACGTTGCTATCGTATTCCTGTTGTAGCATATGACCTTCAGGGGTCATTCAAATGTGGGTCAGTCTAAACGGCCTACGGTCAAGCAACGTAATGCTAGAAGCTACAGATTCAACGAGCATCAGCTCATGCAACCTGTATGGTAAAAACGTTTCACAAAACATCATGTTATCTACATGACAGGTTTTTGAGGTGTTTGTCCTTCTCACTTTCTTTCATAAGAGGCAAAAGATAATTCGCTGGTCAGCACCTTCAACGTGTAGTTGAACACGTGGCTTGTTTGACTATGACTACGATGTTGTTGCATACCCAGTATCCACAGCACATTTCCAACGAACGCCTGCCTGCCAATACGACTACAGCGGCTGAAGTAAGAATGGGTCCGACAAAGACAAGAAAACTCTCATTTTCATGGTTATTCGACTGTTCACCATGCAAAGCTTGGTTGATGTTTTTCGATTATTAATGAGTAAGGTAAATAGCGCTGTTCAAAAGCCCAAGAAATCCAGCAAACGATCCTTGAAGATGGTGTACAAACTTTTTCGTATAGCCGTCGTCGCAGGAACATTAAGCCAAGATCCGAAGGACTCACATAGGACATGCACTTCATATTGTTTACACGACAATGTTTCGAACAGCGCTACAATAGACCTTGCTCAGTAATATAATGTCCCCGAATTCCTGCTGTTCTTGGATGGTTCTCCTTATTGTTTTTATTGATTCTTATTAGCTGACACCGTGCTAATATTTATCCCTTTCTTTCTACCGCCACATTGCGCCATGCCAGATGACTTCGCTTTTCATTTTTTATGAAACAACTCTTCCTTGTGCGTATTTAAAACAGCTTTTACTGTCAGTAATGCCCAGGCGACGAATGTTAGTCTCAGGTGTAAGAAGGCTTGCCTTTACTGAAGGTGGAAACTCAGGAATATGTGGTTTCACGGTCTGGCGCACAGACAGATCCTGAATTACGCAAATTATCCTGAAAGGGATATGGAAAAAATTTCCAGTCATAAAAACTAAACTTAACCCGCCTACGTTACTCATTCGCAATCTAACAAAGGTATTTCGCATGGTACAAAGTCCACAGAGTGCGTGCGCATTTTCTAGTTTCGCTTTGCATGAACACGGATGCGGTGGTAGAGTAGAACAAAGTGAAAAAGTTAACCACTGTGTAAACGCACCAAAACTGGTCTAAAGATCGAGTGTTTCACATTGCAGTATTTTTAACGAAACGCGTTGGCAATAAACTGTTTGGTATCCTCAACCATGAATCGGTGAACAGTCATCAAAGAACAAGTCATCCGCCAAGCTGTAAGAGTTGGATTATCGCAGGCGAATGCGAGCGACATGCGACAACAAAGGATCCGGAAAGAGAAATCCTCGCCTTTAACCAGGTGAAAGAACAAAACAGAAAGGCCAAAAATAGAGATGGTGCAACATACAGCAGGAAAAGGCAACGTCTCCAAATGTTCATGTCGCATGGATATCATTAAAAACGGATAATGATTGAATAAACAAATCGAACAACAGGAAACATCCAATCCTAAGAAAATGTCAACAGAGACCATGGATGTGAAATCTGCACGGATTGGACGAGTCTTATCAAGACCGTGACTTAAAAACTACTTTCCAGCAAAATGGCCAAAAGCACATCACTGGCTCCAAGCGTCACAACAGCTGCAGACCACAGAACGAAGTGCAGAAACCAACCCAGATCATCCTGAAGAAGGCCTGTGAGAAACGAGCCGCAACGTCGATACTGCTCAATCATGCGACTGACCAATTTGTTTATCTGCGTTGTTTATAAATAAACCGTTTCTAAAAAATTTTAAGTTCTCAAAATTGATCAAGAAGTGAAAATAAATTATAAAGAAATATGAAAGTGAGCAAAACATAACGACCATAGTATGTAGTATTATGTAGTATCGATCTCGCACTACAAACCGTGAATACAATCGTGAAGAATGCTACAAGTATAAATGGAACATGTGAAACGACCTGCTCATTTAAAATCAAGAATAAAAGCAAAAAGTTCTTATGCCATTTATGACACTGAAAAATTAATAGATATGTAGATGGAAGATAAAATGCAAAAGCGCCTTCCACTAAGTTTAATGCCTGTTTAATGTTCAATGCCTAGACAAAGGCAAGAGGTCCTTTCGTGGAGACAAAATCAAAACAATCTAACTGCTTTCAATCTTTTGTGCCAAGAAATGGCTGGTCTGCTAGATTTATGAACCACGCCAGTTACCATAACGTTAAAATTTGCAAAAACGGCAGAAGCTTTGAAAACAGAAGTGAAACAGCAAAAAGATAACAAAAAGAAATAACGGTCGCGTTTCGTGAGATTTCAGTAGGGATGACACGATGGAACAATACTGATCACAATGGCTCACGGCATTTAAAAGTCCAAGCAGAAATATATCATTCTTTAGCGTGTTACACAGTGATTTATGAAGAGAAGAAAATAGCTAATGCTCATTAATTTGTTTATAATTTCATAAGGAAGGTCGAACGGAAAAATTAAACACAGACTTTTTAATTTTCTACAACCTAACAATTTATACAGCATTACATTGCCTTCCACTAAAAATTATGTATTGAGATATCAATCTGTGCGCATCCTGTGAATGAAACTAACAAAAATAACTTTTTAAATATGCTAATGCACTACTGAATTGAAGCACTGTAAAAAGGTAAGCAATAGGGTGTGATCAACAAGGAAAATTGCTGTAACGTATAGGCTTGCGGAGCGTAAGCCCTACGCAATTCAGGGCCTGTCTGTATTTTCAAATACAAATAAACAATATAACATTGCTACAAAGATCGAACATCTGAAAAGCATTTAGCACCATATTCGTTGGTAGTTCTTACTTCCAAAATCATAGCAATCGTCAAAGCAGAGTATGCCGGAAGAATCCACGTCGGATCAGGGAGTGTCAGGTCAGTTACCCACAGAAATCCACCTTGTGTCAACGACAGTACAGGTGCCATCGACATTCCGCGTAATGCGTAGAAATATGTCAGGAAGATGGCGCCCTAAAATAGCACATTAGGCGAAAAGTAAAGGAATCAATTTTCGGTACGCAGCTACTGATGCATTCGCACCTTTACAAACATCACAACGACACATCGTCTTGTGCACAAGGATTTGCAAACTTTTTATTGAGGATGTTTTCAGAAAGAGGAAAAGACGTTCAGATTTAAACAGTATTTTTGGGTAACTTAGAATAAAAGATTGTAAGGAACATTACATTCATATTAATTCTTATACAAAAGATGATTCAATATTTTCATCATGCAATCTACCCTCTGGACAGCGGACGACGACTCGAGGGAAAACTCAAAGGACAAGGGAGGGGTCACATGCATCACACCATGAAATGCACAGAAAAAACAATTCTTCGCACCGCTTGGAACCCAGAAATTCCGACGTCACAGCATTGCAGAAACTTCGGCACTCACGTCATCTTCGACCTAAAGGTTTGAGGATGAGAATTGTCACTGCCATTTGTATTCTGCTTCCCCTGCATAAACCGTCAGCGTGGTGTCAACGGCATCACTCTCTCTGCCTTATCTGATATCATATCAACATCATCAAAATCTTTCATGTTATTGCATGATGATTGCGAACTTCTGCTTGGGCAGTACATGTGAAGGGGAAAAAATTTTGCTACGTTACCTTTCAGAACCAGAGTGCTCTCGCTAAATCTTTCCGTCCCGGTTTACAGCAAGATTATACTGCAATGTATAATAAATTGATATGTAAACATTTTATCATATTCAGTAAACATTTTATATTAAATGTTAACTTATACATGATTTTGGTTACGTAATACATTTATGACAAATTATGCCCCCAAATATAAGCTTCTGTGCTGTCTCCTGCAGATATTCGCGTGCCGACACCTTAGCTTAGGCAATAATGCTGAAAAATCAAATTTTTTATTTTAATTGACGGGTCAGTTTTAGTCCGTACGGAAATGGATGAACAATCGACCACTTCGAAGAGTTCACATATACATCCATACCTTTCACTGATAGGATATAAGACGGAATAGTTGTACATTTCTATAAACTGGGCCAGGCTGGCGAGTATTCCAAGTGTAAATGACACGCAGTAAACTGTTCTTATCGATTACATTCGAAAGGCCGGGACATGGAGATTTCACCCCTATCACGCAGGCTTTCAGGCGATGAGATGCCGTTTGCGCCACATTTTTACTGCACAGAAATCAGTGAACGAAGAGAACAATATCGGCTGCCTTGGTCTGCCACTTTGCCAGACTGAACTTCACGCCATGTTGGATTCAATACGGCCATACGATTTTATCTGCTTGTGGTAACATGGGACATTATATCCGATGGGTTATTTATAAAGCTATAAGCGTTACGTAAAAGGCTGGTTTCCGCATTTGTGCTGCACATGAAAGCATTCAGGTGACCAATCCTGCTTCCAGTACTACTCATCAAGACAGTGTCTTCTGTATATTCTGTGCCGACAAGAATGAGACCTTCATCTTACGTTGGGTCAAAAATTTTTCAAAGAAGAAAGTCGACAGCGGTGCTAAATAGCAATGACAGAAACATGTCTCATTAAACAACGCTACAGTTAATCGTTAATCACTCATGTACCTGGTCTCTGACCTTAGTGAAAATGACGTGCACAAGTATTTCATAGCATAGGATCTTACACACTGTTGGATGACGTACTGAATCAGATGTAGCTTTGAAGTCAAGAAAAGTGGCAAAACTAGACAGATGAAATTGTTACCATTGCTCAGTGATTGTAAGTGGGCAAAAATTTAGTCCAAAGAGTATCCCCTCTAAAAGTGCTATGATTTTGTGCGAAGTCTCCCATCAACCACCTGGATCTGCCTTTCCAGGACCAAGATAATCGAAGAAAATAATCTCTGATAGGATTTACGGTAGGGTAACCAGACTATAGTTGGAGCATTCGGTTGCTGGTACCACTTTAAATACAGAGACAAATATTCAGCTCGTTTCGAGCTGCTAGTTTTGTCGATGAATCGGTACTGCAGTATTAGTAGAAGCTGGCGAATTTTGATCGCAAGGAGAACCAAGTGACGTGACAAAGTGATGAGATTAATTTCCGTACCAACCTGTACAAAAGAGATGCCGACTGTTTTCATGTAAAGCCGCATGGCACCCTTTTCCTTCATGTACTCCTGCATCTCTAACATGATCAACTGCTGCTGGAAAGTGTCTTTTCGCCGTTTGGCATCCAACAGCTTGTTGTTGTAGTGCTGCATGCCCTTGGTCATTGTGCCCATCAACGCCGAGTTGCGCTGCGACGCCAGCATGACCGGAACCGTGCTGAGCCGCACCAAAGTAGTGCCTGTAAAACACGGCTAAGTGTCGCATTACGACGCGTTTCACTACATATCATGATGCCCTGCCACCATGGAACGCCAAGCGTGCCATGGATGTAACATAGCATGATCTGCACAATGCCGGATGGCGTGTAATTGCCCAGACCTAGGTAGTCCAGGTTGTTGCCGATGATATTATTTATCACCTCAAGCTGCTCGTCGGTAACCGGAAGCGGTGGCTCTGGAATCGGTGGCAAATCAGCAACAGCAATGGTGCTGCTTCCAACGCTAAGCTAAAAATTGTCTCACGTATGACCTTAGAATGAAATTATAGCGTCCGTACCTCGTCAGACGTTGGCAAAGCCGAGTAATGCCGAATCGGTGAGGTGAAGGGTGTCTGACGACCGACCAACAAGTGGCTTCCGAAACATGAAGGAGTCACACACTGGCGATGGCTGTTCTTGGGCTTGCAGCAATGGACGGTCGGTCGTTTGTCGATGTCAGCCAAAAACGTGTAAAAGCAACATCGCTCGCTTCTGCAAATCATTCGGCTTAACAAAGCCGACACAACAGATTCGAAATGCAACGCTCTGGTACACATCCTGAAAATTTCAGTTTTGAACCAGAAACTACACAACCGTTTTATTATTACAAAAGTATAACTAAAGAAAGTCGAAATACAAATGCGCTACAATAATGCCATTGTACAATTCAGATCGACGTTCTACTGACCTTCAACGCGAGTCCAAAATCAAGCAAACGTTAAATAAATCAAGTGTATCATTGACTAACGATTCAGTTGTCACGCATGGGAACTTATAGTGCGATTCTCTGTTGTTATCCTCTAAAGAAAACATGAGTCATTTTGTAACATCAATGAAGTGAGCCACAAAGATATTTACAGTTTAATTAATACCAAAACCAGCTGTTTGTTTTAAACTTGAAAATTCTATTCTACACAGCACTTCGGCATTCTGACTGGTCCTCTTGAGAGCGCAGTTTAAGCCGCAAGGTGATCATGATTAATATGCAAAATGAAAATGTCCTCTCTGTCTCAAATAAAATGAAACTCTAAGCTGAGGTAGACAGATATATATATTTTTTGCAAAAACCTCGTACTGTAAAAAAAATCTATCACCATCGATTTAGAGGTCAACCTCACAAAACAAACTGGATGAGAAACGAACACAGCCCTAAGTAGAGAATTACTCGAGGAAGTCAGCACCAATGCATACGCTGGATCAGGTGGATCGCATGAACTGACTGCACGGGCAAAATCAGCAGAATAAAGGTGTAATGGGCCAGCTTAAATCACATTAAAACATCATTACTTAGCAGTGAGCTACCCATGCAGAAGAAGGAACTGTCCTACTCGATCATGCTAAGTCGCGGAATACTGACATGAAAGCTACGAAAGCGGAGGCCAGCAAACTGATCGTCAGGCAAAGAGAGATGAGGCGAAAAATGTGTAAGATCGGGATGACGTTACGTTCAGAGTGTACAAATTCGACAAGAGAGTGCAATAACAGAAGTGATTTCAACCTTCCATGATGACAAGAAACGATGGGCCTGTGTAGTGGCTCGCACGAGAGAAGACCGGTTGCGACCAAAAATTACAAACTGGGTTCTGCTGACCACAAACGTCGAGTTAGTAGTCCAAGAACAAACTGGGAGGATCTGATGATCAAATTACTTGGTCAACGGTGCAGGCATAAAGCTCAAAATAAACAATATTGCAGGAGCATCAATTTGCGTTAATGTCGCACGCATACCGAGGATAAGTCAGAAGTGGCAACCTCAGTGAAGCTTTCAAAGTCTTCCCAAGTATAATCTCTCTAGCAAAAGCTATAGTCATGGTCTCGTGAAGAATAACGCTATAGCCGTGGGTCACCAAGAAAACCCTAGTTCTTATACTTCCGCGTTTGTCCTTTAAGCAGTTCATATTACTGGTCTCTTTTGTTCTTCTTTCACTGGCTTTTATTATGTGGCAGACATCATTCTCCCCTTTCTCTGTTGCCAATTTTTCGTATAGGCTATTGCACAGCTTAGACTTCGCTTCAGCGACGACTTTCTCGGCCTCCCTCTTTGAACTAGCATATTTTATTCTGTCTTCCGTGCCGTTTGATAGATGCCATTTTTTGGGCAGCTTTTTCTTCTGTCTTGCAGTCGCCTGCACACCTGCATTCCATCACCACGTTTCTTTCTGCGTATGCATGTGCCTTTTGTTTTTCCGACTATACCTCTGGCATTCCTTATGATTACGCTGGACCGCTCCCATACGTCATCCACCTTCCTATTCCAGTCATAGTCGTCATTTTTCTCGTAACTTCCATTTTGAATGCTTCTTTCAACTTCTGTTCGAAATTCCACTACTGTATCTTCGGGGGTGTCGTCGTGCCCACCGCCTGAATGGGCTGTTACACAGAGAGAGGTAGAGGACCAGTAGCCGGGGCTGGCTTATGGCAGTTCCCCTGGGAATAACCTTGCAGTCTCTGACGTTCTTAAGTTCAGCCCTTCGGAATAGAAAGTAGTCGATCTGACTTTTCTTCTGCCCGCTGTTGTAGGTTACCAGGTTTTTCTCTTTTCTGGAAGAACGAGTGCATCAGAATCAGATCATGTGCAGCTGCCACCTGCAAGATGTGTTCTTCTTTATTTAACATAATATGTCAATGTCCGTCATAGATCCTGTCATGTCTCCTTCTATCTTTCCCAACGTGCCCGTTAGGTCACCCCGGATTACCATATTTTCGTTTCGCGTACGTTTTGCAATGCAGTGTCTAGGCTCTCCCAAACCATGGACTTTTCGGCTTCATTCTGGCCAGTTTGTGAGGCGTAGGCACTTATTATATTTAAGGTACTACTTTCTAAAGTCAGCTTAACACCCATGATTCTGTCGTCAATTCGGTTGACTTCGAATACCTTATTTTTGGTCACTTCATGCAATACCACTCCAACTCCTTTGTTCTGCTTGATGATTCACAGTTAATAAGTTCATAGCCCAGTCGAATCTCTTTCGATTTCTCACCTTTCCAATTCGTCTCCTGAATAAAAGAGATCTGAACTTTTCTTCTCTGAAGAATCCCCCCCCCCGCTAGCTCCATGCCCTTTACCGTCACTGTTTCCAGTGGCAATTCACATTTTTCGCTCGTTTTCGGCATGTCTACCTCTCCCTTTAAGATTTCTGTCTTTGCAAGAACTGATACTCTTGTTCATTTCTTATAGCTGCCGGGATTTACTGCTGTACGTTGCCTGTGGCAAGCGCCATTGAATTCTTTCTATAGGTAAGCTAACTCATCATATTTGGCTTTGGCATTGGTTTTTAACGCCGGCTGCCTGCCTGAAACCAACCTGTCTTTATCAACTGAGCTGGGAACCGGCTGCGGCTCATCAGGGTTAGCAGCTTACTTATTTGATGGCGGCATGTACTCGCCATGTCACCGCCCTGTCATTGGTTTATGCCGTATTATCTAGAGCTAACTTTGCAAAAGGTCAGCTCGTTGGACCCTCGTACCACTGGGGTCACGTTGTCCTCGACTGCTTATTCGTCAAGTTCTAGCTTATTTCGCAGCGAACCCTCACATCCGAGGGTTGTTCCACTATACGCAATCTGTTGACGTGTTCGGCGAAATATGACCTTGCCTCGACACTACTATCGAACGGTCGTAAATCAGATCATACGATTATCAGATCGATCATATAGTTATGTGCACAAGCTTCCCTGTATCAGGTAAACCGATCTATGCTTCGATGCCGCAACTTCATACCGGTACTGTTGAGGTCGCTAGGATGTTTCCTTCCAATCACTCCTTTCTACTTTTAATTGTTTGCTACGGCATGCTCATTGAAATCACCCATTAGAAGGAGCGACTCCGTAGTCGGCATCTCGTAGAAAGCACCTTCAACTTCCTCGACGAAGACTTTTATGCTCCCTACAAATTGGGCTCATAGACTGTTACATCAACGCTTTAGCTTGTTGCGGTTTCAGTCGACGGATTGCCAGTGTTCTGCTGGTAGGCTTCCAATGAATGATTCTATTTGCGAGGTGTGGTTCTACCAGAACACCAACACCAGCCTGGGCGCGCTTCGTGATATCGACGCCTGAGTAAAATAGCTTCCATTCGCCGAGGTTCAGGAGTCCAGAGCCCTTGCGTTTTATTGACGAAAGTGCAACTATTCCCAATGTCGACACCTTGCGCCTCGTCAATTAGCTCATGCGTTTTCGGTTTGAGTGAGATGCTCTAATTTCTGACTGTAATCTCACACTGTGGGTACCGTTTCCGTGGAGCCTCATTTGACATACTGTAATGGCATGGCGTTGTCTGCTTCTTTCGTCCTTTAACTCCTCGTTGTCTTGTCGATCTTCGGCTGCCGTTGTTGTGTTGCGACACCTTCAGCTAGCAGAAGACGTGAATCAGATTCTGATCACCGACTTTCCGCAGTCTGCCTCAGTTCCTCAGTAGGCTCGGGAGCCGTTTGTAAAACGGGCGGCGACCAATTCGGTATAATATCCGATAGCGGCAATGGCATCAGAGGCAATTAATTCAAGCTTGAGACTGCCAACAGAGGAGTTCAACGTTCCAATAGAAAAAGGGGTGATCCATGATTCAAGCTTGAGACCGTCCGCTTCGAACTGCCGCTGTAGTCACCTCATCAATTTTTGGCGTGGCTCTTTGGTAGTCATTTCCAGTTTGCCTTCTTCATGCCGTAAACTGTCGACGTTCGATCGACGATAACTTCCAACAATGATTAATTTAAAGAGAAGAAGTCACACCCCAGAGAAAAAGCCTGCCACAATATAATCCTTTTTTTAGGTCTAATCGATCGCGGTTCGAGACACTGCCATCACTGAATCGTGACCTTATTTCTACGTCTATTAGCATAGATTGTAGCTATTGTTTCTTGGATCGAAATGTGCCAAAAAGCTTAAGGCTCTTGACCACAAAAACTCCATTGGACCTTGTTTCTTCATTCGTACGCAGTTGATTTGCTGACGGTGAGATGACAGTGATTCAATTGAAAATCCATCTTATTGTAAACTTTGTACTTCTTTGTGAGGTTTTACGCAATTTCTACAGAGTTACTCTCTGGCATACTCTTGATTTAGAATCGTTTTATTTTTTACCTGTAATTTTGCTTAGTCATATAGCGACTGCTTGATGGCTGTCTTTGCGTCATGTCATTAATTCTTGCAAACTGCCAGCTTCAGGATAATGCTGGTCTCCTGCATATCACAATTCACTCTGATCGCTGCTTCCTCGTACCTCAGTGTTTTTCATTCATTCACTACGGCTGATATATTTTACTTATTCTGTCATTATATGATTCACTCATCTACATTGAATTTGGGTCAGGCTTAAGATTTGAATCCGTTCATCATATTCGTTCTCTCGTGCACAATAAATTCGTTTATGTATATCCACATATCTTAAGATTTAAATGAATATTTTCCAAGCTTGCAATGCAACTCTGACCTTAAGCATGGTAAAGTCATCCTGCGTTTATGCAACCGATGCTACAAACGCAGAAAATTGAGCGACTTTTCTAAATCAGATGCAACAGAATTTCTATCATGTGTGGACATTATTTACATTTATTTTCAGAA